AGAACATGGCGGCCCTCCCCGGTGGCGGCGGGACCCTCAGCCGGCTCTGAGGTGACTCTGGCCCGGGCCCGCCGTAGCAGCGAGGAGCTGCCGTCAGGGCCTGGGGCGGCCTCTCCGTCCTGGGTTCAGTCAGTCCAGGCGGGTCGCGTCCCCCTGTGCCTTGGTCCTCCGGAGCGGGACGCGGCGGCTTGTCCAGCCCGCGCACCATGGCGAGGGGGCGTGGGGGGGTGTGTGCGTGAGCTGCTGGGGTCTCTCACAGGTACATGTTGAATATAAAAGTGGGGGGATCTCCTTGGGGCGTGGGGGACCTGGCGTGGCGGCGGCCATCGCACTGGGTGTTCCTGGAGGTGCAGCTTCTCTTCTGGTCCTTGTCCCTGCCAGAGTTAAGTGCCAGATGGGGTGTGAGGTGGTTTGGGTCAGGGATATGGGTTAATGGTGGAGGTTTCCTGAAGGACTTTGTGAGACTGGCTTGATAATAAAGCTGAGGTGGAATGACCTTGTATGATGGGAGTCAGCCTCGAAGGCATATCTGAAAGGCATAATAAAGGGCTGGGACATCATAAAGAGTGCAGAGAGTTGAGCTGTGCAGCACAAGTGTAAGCTGTCAGTTAGAACCTCTAGGACAATCGTGAGGTCTTTCTCCATGTGGGCATTTGTCCTGTTGATCTCCCTTTGAAAAGAGACTATGGATGTTAGAAGGTTACATGAATTTAAATGTAGCAGACTGCTTCTGTAGGGTTGTGAATGCATAGAAAATATTTGTTGAAGTGAAAATGGTTAGGAGAATATTGGAGGGATGTCTTGATGTCCTTACCGTGTTCTAACCCTTATATGGGGTCTGTTTATAGTCACATTGTTTTAAATCAAGAGTGTGAATGCAGTCCCTCCCCTCTGCAGAGGATGCAGGTTTCCTTGAGTCTCATCCTAGGGAAACCATGTTCCTCATAGGGTATGTTGTTGTATCTGGTCTGAGCTGGTATAGCCGTTCTCATGAAACCTGGCCTTCCATCAGCTTTGCACAGATGAAGCTGTACCTTAAATACTGTGCTGGAGAGTACGAGGGACCTAGAGCATGATCCACCAGTATGGTTGTAGAGGCAGCTGGGTTTCTTCAACCTAGCAGAGTACAGTGGGGGGCTACCTAGTAGCTGTCTACAGCTACTGAAAGGGCAGTTACAGAGGACAAGCCTGTGCTCTTAAGCTAGAGCACATCATGTAGCAAAAGGAGATGGCTAATGGAGGCTTGTAGAGGTTCAGACCAGTCTGGGAAAATTCTCTGGGAGTTTTCACTGGAACTGGTTCTGTGCTTGAAAATAGGGTATGTAAGTGTGGGAGAGCATTTAGTGTTTCTTAAAGATTCTGTGTCCTGAGTTGTGGCTTCAAACCAGCACTTAACAGTACTGTCTGTAGTACATATTTAAACCTTATTAATTATGGAACTTCCATCAGTGATATGTAAAGGCCTAGAATTGTAATGAGTGTGACAGTTGTCTCTTGCCTGTTTTTATAATGTTGAGATTATACTTTCAAGGCTCAGATTTTGTTGTGTTTAGTTAGTATTCTTAGTACTGTAAGACTTCTGCTGCTGTGAACAGGCTATGCAGAGCAAAATAGGCAGTCTCTTGGTGTCTAACAAAGATTTCTTTAATGAAAGAGCTACCTACTACTTCGAAGTACTTGATAGAGTTGCAAGAAAGCAGTTGAAAGAGCTCTCAAAGCAGAGCTGACAGTAGCACCAGGCCAGGTTTTTGTGACTTTGTCTTGCCAAGTTTTGCAAACCTCCAAGGATGAAGATCTCTTACCTCTCTGACCTGTTCCAGGGCTGTGCTGCTCTGCTGGTGAAAGTTTCCCTAACACCCAGCCTGAATCTTCCCCATCCTCCTAACATGTGACCTCTGCAGAGCAGAGGGAAGGCTTCTTGGTGCACTGGCCATGTGTCTCCTTTTGTAGCCAGGCATATTGTTTGCCTTATTGAGGATGGAAATGCCCTGTTGAACATTCAGGATGGTTTCTGTGGTAACCCCAGGATCTTTTCAGCAGGGCTGCTTTTCAGTTAATGTTGTCTTTGTGCTGATGCGGGGAATTACTCTGCCCCAAGTGCTGAACTTTGTACTTTGTCAAAGTAAACAAGCCGTGCTTTTAATGTGACACCTGTAGGACCTGGTATATGGCTGTGTTGACCAGGTTGTACTTTCAAAGACTTACTTTTTCTCTTTGGAACATGCATGATTGTTGTTGCTTTATGTAGTTTGAAGTAGTGGTACTAGTTCATTTGATGCTGGAAAGCTCATAGTCTGGTGTCTTCCACGTGTTCACCTTGCTTGGGCATGCTAGTCCCTACACATTTCCTTCCAATGACCTTCTCCAGCTGCTTAGGAATTTCAGTGGCAAAGCTAGGGTCACTGATACGACCTCACTGCAGATGAGGATCCAGACTCAAGTGGTGGCATCTTTCTATTCTTTCACTGTAGACTTGCAGGCTGTCCTCCTGCTTTCCTGAAAGGGTGATGTGGCCTAATTTTCATTGCCATGTCCTGTTCTCTCAGTGCTGAAGCTGCTTTTCCTGTTACCCTTTTTGCAGTGTGCAGGTTGGCTGTCCTCTGCTCTTGCAGTACCTTGCCAAGCCCAGGGCTTCAGCCTGGGGAGTGATGGAGTAATGGCCTTCGTGAAGAGTTGTGCAGCAGCAGCTTTGAGTAAGGCTGGCTGCTGAGGCTGTGGATTGCTCTTCTGGAAGCTGTATATCTGAATACACAGCTTGGGTAGATGGGGAGCTGAAAAACAACAGTTCTCTGCTGTGGTTGAGAATAGGTGATGGGTTTTTTGGCAAACACAGATCTTAATTTATTGGGGTTTCCAGGGAAATTGAAAAGGACTGTGCTTCTGTTCTCCTGCATTGGCCATTGATGTGGACTAGGCAGTTCCAGGTCCTGCTTTTACCCTGGAATTTCAGGGGACAAATTCTGTCATCTAATCACAGGGTCTGAACACAGTTAAATGTGACTTGAAGCTGTCTTCTATGCAGGCTCTTCTAGAATGTGTTTAACTGTCACTCAAAACCAGAAGTTAAATATAAAAAGTCACAGATGGACCTGGAGTCTGGAGATGGTTCCATTGTGGTTTGGCTTTTAATATTCAAAACCCCATGCTGACATATTAAGGAAGCTGGGTTTATGCTATGGACATCAAAAGCAACTTGGGATTTTATAAAATGATATGGATGGATCCTTTTACTGACATGAAATATTTTCTGCATAGCTTAAATGAGGTAGCTTTGTGTGAAGTGTTAAAGAGTTTAGTATTTTCCAGCAGTGTGATGTGAGGCCTGATGTTTCATATTTATGAAGTGATATTAAGGGTTTCATTAGGCAAAGACTTTCTTATGGAATGGCAAAGTACCCTAAAGCGATCAGGAGAAGATTTTTTTTTTTCCTGATTTGATGTATATTAAACAATATGACCCTAGATCATGTAGAAGGTTTTGCTCCCTCTGGTGGCTGAAGTTCTGGGGGTGAAGTTTTTCTGGACTCTTAGGCCAGTGACATGTGTAATCATCAGTTTTTCTAAATATTCACTGTTTGTTAGGAAGAGGAGTTGGCTGAAGGATTTGGAAGAGTTGCTCAAACTCTTCCTGTCTGATAGGAATAACAAGGAGGAATGAGTCCATAAAAATGACAATGTCTAAAAGGGTCTTTCTAGGTGGAGGTAGATGATGACTGAAAGAGGCTTTTGTGTTCTGTTGTATTTTGTGCTAAATGCCCCTAACACCCGGACAATAAGGCCAATGTTTTAATAGCTTTGCAGTATGGGAGTTCAAGCTGTGTGTGCTGAATGTTTTCTAAACAAGGAAACTGCAGTTTCTGCTGAGTGAACCAATCTTTTTTCTCCACACAGCGTGAGTGCATCTCAGTCCATGTTGGTCAAGCTGGTGTGCAGATCGGCAATGCCTGCTGGGAGCTCTACTGCCTGGAGCATGGCATCCAGCCCAACGGTACCATGCCAAGCGATAAAACCATCGGTGGTGGTGATGATTCCTTTAACACGTTCTTCAGTGAGACTGGTGCAGGAAAACATGTCCCTCGGGCTGTGTTTGTGGACCTTGAACCAGCAGTAATAGGTAAATAGTGACCTGTGCAAGGAACTGTAGAAAATGCTGTAGGATTTGATTTAACTTAGACGTTTTATTAAGGGATCTGTTTCTCTAGTCCTGCAAAAGGCTTTGGGGCTTTAAATTTTTGCTACATAAAGCTTGCCTACATCTTCCTAGTGATGGAAAATACTTGGCTTTACATTCATCAAGACTGGCAAATGTGCACTCTGGAGCTCTGAAGAATTTAAATATTACCTTCTGCCAGCTTGTGGAATTAAATGGGTTTTCTAAATATGCTTCATGATTTGCTATGCAAGGAACTAGTTACAGCCTCTTGAAACAATATGGCATAATGTGTGCAGCAGTCAATAGGAACCTTTTAAAAAGATGTGATACTCATCATTAAGCAGATTTCTTTTTGTACATTGGAATGATTCCTGTGTTTTCCCAAAACAATCTTCTACTCTTTGTAGCTTGAATAGGGCTTGCAGAAATGAGTCTCAGTTGCTAGTCTAAATTAAGGGACTTCCAAACATCCACTTTAACTTCCTGTGGCCTTATCTTTGAGTGACAATCCACTCATCCTGAAAATAAGCTGTAATCCCAAACTCTGGCAACACTGGCTCTTAATGTTCAGATGGGATCCCATGCATCAGCCACTGTCCAATCCCCCATTCTGTGGCATTAGCTACACTGCCAGCTCAGTGTGAGCCTCCTCAGTTTCACAAGACCCTTGTTCCTGAGTCATTAATCTTGTTTTTACTGTGATGTGTGTGCCTGAAGTAATTCTGCTGGTTCTGTGGCTGTCTTGCCTTAAGTAGTGATTTGGGGCTCTTGTATGT